GCTTTGGGAGACAGGAATCTGGGAGTGTAGCATGTTCCTTTTGAAGGTCTCTTTTGGGTGTCAAATTTCCCTTTTTACCCTCTTTGGAGTCCCCTCGTTGCTCTCCCTAGAGAGGGTCCTTAACCTGTCTGCAGTTATCTACGGCACACATTTAACTTCTTATTATGTAAACGTTGTATACCATAGGTTTAACCAACCTTTACGTACACATATTATCCTTTCACTTAGTGACTCCTATAGGTAGGTCCTGAATACTAGGTCCTGGTGTCGGTTGCTGAGTTCTAGGTCTGAAGCGCGTAGGTACTGTGTCCTGGCGTCCTAGTAGGATACTGAGGGCCTAGGGCCGCATATATCTGTGGTTTTCTTTCTGGTAAACCCCTTCGACCCAATTAGCCTTGTGATATTCTGTACAAACTGTGAAGTCCACTGAGACAAATGTAACATTTGTGATATTGGGCTATATAAATAAACATTGATTGATTGATTGATTGAGTAGCTAGAGTATAATTAGTGTGATGGTGCGTCAAGTGTTCACATAAGTGTAGTAACTGTGGTTTGGCTTCTTGGTTAACTTTAAGGCTTGGTCTTGTAGCTTCTGCAAAGTTTACATCCCTTTTCGATAAATTTCACATTTTATGTCGTAATACTTTCATGTGGTAAAACAGACAGTAACAAATCAGAAACTGGTCTGAGCTTTGACCAAAAGTATACGGGAAATGCGGTTTGGCTTTGTAAGGCAGTACACAGCTTTGCATTATATGGCAAAGATTACATCTGGAAGGAAATCAAAACAAAAAAACTTAGAACATGAACAAAAAACACAAACCGACCATCAGTGTGTGGTGTTGGTAAATGTGAAGGTTGAAAGGAGAGTCCCATTATGTTGAGGGGTGATTTTTGGGCCTCATCTGCATCCCCCTTAATGTTGATCAAGCCCTTAGCATTTATACACCAACTCACACGCACAAGGAGGCTCATCATGCTACTCCTGGGCTACAATTAGGCAAACCAGCCTCATAGCTATTCTCTTCAGTAGAAGTAGCTGACTGTAAAAAAAAAAAAAAAATGCAACCTTTGATGCCCTCAGCCCACCCAGTGTGCCTCTTCACAAACTCCAAAAACAGAGGAAAATAAAACACAAAAACAAAACAGTGGAGTTGTCGCAGCCTCTTTTGTCACTGCCTACGCTCGTGGAGGTGGGAGCTGAATTATCTACGTGACCTGACTCATGCACAGCCAGATTCTTATGAAACCCTTTTTTTGGATAACATGAAATCAAAATCGCCGCTATCATATCCCTCTCTCGTCTATTGAATTACCCCAAAAGCCCCCCTGACCCCTGAAAGAGACGAGTAAACAAAATGGAGGTAGCCATTAGTCCACATGTGAACAAAATACCTGTCTCACTGCTTCTTTAGTACCCATCAGCCCAGGGTTCTTTATATTTTAAGGGCATTGCATTTGTCTCTCCCCGGCTAATTGGCTGCTAATAGGAGACTTCTGGCACACTGCTAGCTCTGTTTAAAAGGAGAACCACACAGCGAGACAGCTTCACACACACACCAGGATGCATGACACACTCATACAAATATGGCAAGGTGCACACAAACACAAACACACTTACGTTATCTCACAACACTGCACACTCAGTTTAATTGCCCTCCTGACACTAAGTGAAATAAATTGTCGCCCTTAAATTATGTATGGTGTTTCATAACTCCGGCACGGACGTTTTCACGGGGACAAAGTGGAGAGGAGACACCGACCTGTTTGCTAAAGATGAAATATTCTCTCCAGTTGGCACATTTTGTGTCGGGGCCAGACAAGCGGCTCAAGTGTTATCTGAGCTGTTATGTTGCTCAGCGGTAGAGTAATTGCCCTTTGGGAGGAATTGACTTTTCAGACAAGGATGTACCCGGTGTAAAGGTGCTGCCAGTGACGTTGTGCACAGCTGTTCTGAATGTACAGGGAGCACAGTGAAAGTACAGTGATTTAGTAACCTTGTTTTAGTTTTTTATGTGTGTGAGATATTGCACATGTGGTGTTTCCTGGATTTTGTTTTGGGCTAACACCAAACTTGTGTCCGCATATAACTATTTTTTACACAATACTACAACTTTTAAAATTGCATAGCTCTTCACCTTATTAATTCCGGTATAACGTACATATTTCTTTACTGAATTAATAATCATATTCTTTCTGTATATTTTGATTCTTGTAAACATTTGCTTTTTCAGTTCTTAAAAAAAAATAATAATTTACATATTTTTTTTTTTTTACATTTGAATGTCTCTTTCTGTGTTTATGTAAGCACCATAACTGCACACCAAAGCAAATTCCTTATATGTATATACACTGAATTATTTTGTTTTTGATTCTAAATGATAAATGAAACCTCATGTTAACTTCTTAATATCTTAAATTATTCATTTTTTTAAATCAATATCAAATAAATTTACTGTTAGAGGCGAAAATAATTTTTCAACAAACTTGACCTCAAGTATGTCACCTAAAGATGCATGACTCTTCTCTATTGCACTTTAAGAGGGGAAACACTGAAGTTAATCAATGGATCAATTCCCCTAAGCTGACAGCTAGTCAATAACTCACATCCAGGAGTTTGAGGATAAACTCCTGAATAATAATCACTTACACGTGTGTATGATGGATGATGTGTTCATACTAATGTCGAAGGAAAGCAAACACATGTTTGACACTTTGAGAAAAGAGGAAGGCACCATGCTTCTTCCTGCCATTATTATTATCTTCCTAATCTGTGTATTTAATTGTTTTTGATACCGAGAATGATTAATGAAGCTTGAAAATGTCATACATGAGGCGTGAAACACTAACAGAGGAAGCCACATGTCTGCAGTGTCAGCGAGGGAAGGTCTTAACATCAACAATGATATCCGTCTGTATAAAATCTGATAACAAGCTGTGATAAAATTCTAAGCAGCAAATAAAGCTGATGTAAGGACGTGATAACGATTGTTGTTGAGTTCAAATGAGATAAGGGAACTGTTAAGTAAGTGGTTGTGTAATATTCCTATTTTTATCTGCTTTATCAGAAATATATTCTCACTTGTGTTGCACTTATCAGCTCAGCTCCTTACATCTCCATCCATTCACCAGCAGCACCATCTTATAGGACTGTGAGGCATTGCAGTGTGAAGATGCTGCTTTGATAACGCACACTGTGTTTAATGGCTTTCTGTCAATCAAGGTAATTACTTCAAGATTAATCCCAGCTGAGTCAGTAGATCAGTCTCACAGATACCTGATATTCCACAAATGTCTTCTCCCTCAAACAGTTATCGACTTTTTGACAGGTCTCACCATACTTGCCAACCTTTGGACCTCAGATATCGGGAGCATTTCCAAAACCACAACTTATTGTAGTTGTAAGTGCAATGCCTTGCGGCCTGTAGCACCATCCTTGATGGAGCATATGTGTGGGCTGGACTTGTATTTTACAGGAAAGGAGTGAGCAGAGAGCAGAGTAGTTGTCGATTCTTGTTCGGTTTTCTGTGACTATCTTCCTCACCCTCTCAGACTTTCAGTTGCGTGCGCTACTAAAGAGACGCACTACCATGGAAACCAAACAATGGTGTAGCTGTATTGAAGTCCGAGTGGAAACAGTCCCGAGTAAATCTGATGTTGTCAGAAGTCGGGAGAAATGCGTGAGAAATATAACCCCGGGAGGAAACCGGGAGAGGGCAATGGAATCGGGAGTCTTGGCAAGTATGGGTCTCACATACCTCATTCACACCAACGCAACTCCGGTTCAAGCTCCGTGCTAGAGCTTTTCAGGTTCAGAACCGGTTCTTAGGTTTAGCTTCGGCTCTTTCCACACTGCCCAGAGTCCGACTGGTGCTGCGTCATCGTTTGCGTCATGACGTAACCGCGTGCCTGCTTCATAAAGCCAAACCGCGCGGAAACCCCTCACAGCTGACACCGACAACAACAACAATGGCCGATTGTGCTCCAGCTTCCTCTGTACTAGGGATGTGCATCTCCATCACTGAGGCCGATGCGATGCGCATCTCGATACGTTGCCACGATACGATACATTAACGATACATTTGAAACACCAGGCGATGCGATACGATACGATTCACCCCTGTTGCGATACAGTTCGATACGATTTGATTCAACATTATGCGATTCGGGGCGATACGATGCGATTCAACACGATGCAAAAATAATGATACTTCAATATGGTACGACAGAGGATTTTTGTTTTATTCCTGATATGCAGCAAATCATACATTAACAAAAAAGTGCTTTACATATTTGGTACTGCACATGAGCACATCCCATCATGCCGTTTATTTTTTTACCTTTAAAAGCTCTCCAGAGTACAATTGTATAACACCTCACAGTTAAACAATGTAAGGATGCATTGCTCATAATTAACAATGTGCAAATAACAGCTACCATAGAGCAATGCCCATACAGCTGCCAGCCTGATGTGCTTAACACTCAGAGGCTAACTCACCAGTGAGCAGAAAGCAGTGGTTTCTATCTGAACAATAAAGAAAACAAATAACCTTTCACAAACAGGTATTTCATAACTGCTTACAGTAAGGAAGACATTTAAATTATTATTGGCCGTCACAGGCTGCTGTAANGTTGTCTAGAATGGATGTGTGTTGTTTATCGTGTCCGACCTGTGCAGGGTTCCAGGGGTTGGGAAGATGGCGCTGACCGTCGCTCTCTGGAGACGGAACGTGTTCTTCGTCTTGGGAATGCTTGTTGTTTCTCTGACATTTTTCTGGGGGAACCCTGAATGCAGCGTGAGACGTTAGAGCGCTACGCACACACTACACACGGCACAACACAAAAGCAAGAGCAAGTGTATTCCAAACATAGGGGGCCAAATAACAAGCACGGGTGTTAGACCTATTACCCAACGAAACAACTGGCAATCAGGAGGAAGGCCAATCTCTTTTCTCCCTCCAGACTCTCCACCATTCTTTCAGCCTCACTAGCTCTACGACATGATAAATTTGCCTTGCCTTCTCTCACACCACCCACACACAACACACACACACACCACACGACACACCACACACACACACACAACAACCCACACACACACACACACACACACACACACAACACACACACACACAACCACACACACAGCACACACCACACACACACCACACACACACAACACACCTCCCTCCCTCCAAGCGCACTCCCTCTCCTCACAAAGAATGGACAATTACATCAGACACAGACACATGCTAAACCTTGACACAGAAACATATGTTATCACATCCCAGCACAAAAGCCCACACACCCACCCCACACCCACACACACACACACACACACACACACACACACACACCACTCGTCCCCACACCATTTTAACAGCACTCGCCCTCATCTGCTGTTAGCCACTGTGTAGATCTTGATCCATTAGCGAACGCGATAGCACTTGGAAAGGCTATCATAGGAGTATGAGATACCCATCGCTGGTTCTCATTCAGATTAGAACCCACGAGCAATAACTCTCTGCAGGCTTTATGGGTAGACAGAGGCCAGTTTTATAAGGGCGCCACCCGCTGCTAACTCCTCGCCAAAGGGGAGTGTATAAACTTCCATAAATGTCAGCATATCGCCCTACTTTCTATGATGTGGATCAGGCGGAAACGCGTTTGAACACGTCGAGATAACAGGAGGCTTTCACAATCCACACGGTAGAGGATGGACACAGCTTGACTGTTTATTTGCTGAGGTCCAAGAGGAATACCTCAGAGCTGCAATCATCTCAGCATTTGACTCCACGTCTAAGCCCATTTCTCATTTTGTATTCACCCTATTTCTCAGCCTGTAATTTTCCATTCTCCCCTTTGCTCTCTTCTTCCGCCCTCCGTCCCTCTCCTGCTTGTGTTTCAGGAGATGTCGTCTAACCTTAGTGACTTTATCCCGGTGATTTTTAAGAAACATCGTGTCAGTGAAAGGTTAAAGGTTCAGTCCCCGTGTTCAGAGTGAGTCCAGCTGAACCTCGGTCTTCCTCCTCCGGGCTAACAGCCTACAGTGTAAGACATTGTGTAATGAGTGCTTGCTGGAGAGTCTCTGTCTCACCTCTGGCACTGGAGGGGGCCGAGCTGGTGACATTCGGCGAGGCAGAGTGGTTGGAGCTGAGGCTCGAGGTAGACGGACTGGGCTGTAGGTGGGAAGACAAAAACAAGAAAATAAATATCACTGACATGAACTAGAAAATTGTGAATCATTGTTTATCTTTAGCTAGTCAATGTGTCAATATCGGGATGCTAAATACTAGATAAAGATAGATTTTAGATAACGTAATATTATATTACATTACAATACTCAATACTGTGGGCAATCCCCACAGGAGCAATTTGGGGTGAAGTGTCTTACCCAGGGACACAACGACATGCTGACTGCAGTGGGGTTTGAACCTGTGCTCCCCTGATCCAAACACCAACGCACAACCCACTGCACCACATGCCTCTTAATATCTTAAGTGTTGTTTTTTCTTGGTCTATAAGGCTCCACAAGGCTCCATAAGGCTCTATAAGGCTCCATAAGGTTATATAAGGCTCCATAAGGCTCCATAAGGTTATATAAGGCTCCATAAGGTTCCATAAGGTTCTATAAGGCTCCATAAGGCTCCATAAGGTTCCATAAGGCTCTATAAGGCTCCATAAGGCTCCATAAGGCTCCATAAGGCTCTATAAGGCTCTATAAGGCTCCATAAGGTTCAATAAGGCTCCATAAGGCTCCATAAGGCTCCATAAGGCTCCATAAGGTTATATAAGGCTCCATAAGGCTCCATAAGGCTCCATAAGGTCTATAAGGCTCCATAAGGCTCTATAAGGCTCTATAAGGCTCCATAAGGCTCCATAAGGTTCCATAAGGCTCCATAAGGCTCCATAAGGCTCCATAAGGCTCTATAAGGCTCTATAAGGCTCCATAAGGCTCCATAAGGCTCTATAAGGCTCCATAAGGCTCCATAAGGCTCTATAAGGCTCCATAAGGTGAACAATTATAACCTTTTTTAAAACTTACCAGAATGTTCTATCAATATCATATCTTGCCGTTACCTGCTTCGTCATTGAATCCACATTACTAATGGTTACATTTTGTATGTATCCCGAAGCCCTATCTTATCTCCATAATTAGCACGTTTCAGCTGTATAAAAAAAGGTTCAAATCAATATGAGTTGGTTTTTACGGGGGGGTTATGTGCGGACGACAAAACTAGTCTAAACGAATCTTGGTTATTGCTTTATATTTCCTGTACAGACATGAGAACAGGAAGCAACCTAAAAAAGAGAAGCCAATGCAGAAGTGCACTAAACCTGATTCTTCTTCTTCTTCCTTGCTTCTTTCTATTATTTGTTTGGCTCAATTGAAAGTCATTTAATGAAGTGTTTCTGTTGCAGTATATATTGCTTTAAATGTTTTCTGTAAAGCACTTTCAAATGCCCCCTGTTGAAATATCCTATATAAATAAACTAAGCTTGCCTGGCATTCCCTAACCTTATTCAACTTTTCCAAATAAGAACATAAGTCTATGAGAAAAATGTCCCTACTTCTGACTTGATTTATTACCTCAGTTTACATTTTCCTAATGAGTTAAGGGTGTAAATTGCTTAAATACAGCATGATATTTATCTTGTAAATAATGGCCCTAATTTGGGGTAAAATACACAAATAAAAGTATGATGCTGAACTCCAGGTCAAATCGTCAAACCAAGGGTCGATTGGTCATGTTGACTATGTTAACTTCTTACATACAGATGAGACTAGAAGCATTGACACATTTTTTTATAAAAACGTAAGGAATACAAATGTTTCCACAGGGTTGGAGTAACAGTAAAGGCCTGTGACTTAAAAAGAAACCCGTCTGTAGAATCTTTGTTGGCGTACTTGATTTATATGATAAAAGCTATGATGTTCAAAAATAATATTGTAATAGCTTCAGTCCGATCCCTGACAACAGCCCTCTTGAGTTGGTCCCTGCCTCCTGTTATTCTAGGCCTGCCAGGTGCGCCACACAGCTTGCCAGCAGTTGTCGACAGCTTTCTGATTTGGCCAAATCTAGTTTAGATTACTGCCCAACTCCAGCAAGCTGCCTGGACGGAGCGCACAAAGCACTGCGTCCTTATTTGATATAATCAGGACAATTTGCTTGGCCGGACAAAGCTTACTGAACAAGCAGAGAGGACAAAAGAGAGAAAGGGTCAGAGGAGAATAAAGAAATGAGGGTGGTTTGAAAAATATGTCGACACACAGCGCGTGAAATCTGGCAGGGAGCGTGAGGGCAAATGTTTTTCTTTAAGATCCTTTGTGTGGGAAGGAATGAGAGGTCGCATGAGAGGGAGATTACCTGCATGTTGAAGACTTCATCCGAGCTCTCCGACTGCCCTGTGATGTTACTGACTTCATTGGAGGCCTGAGACGACAGAGAGGACGAAGAGTAGCGGTTCACGGCAGGGTAGCTGGGGAAACTGAGCAAGAGACAGAGAGGGATTACGGTCAGCGGAGACGGAGGTTTATGGGACTTTGCTTCATTGGGTTTCAGAGGTTTGACTCACCAAACCAAAAATTCAGGAAGGCAGGGAGGGGAGAAAGACAGAAGGGGACAGAAAATGTCAGATTATGAGAAGATAATCGATGCAGCAATCACAGCATTGCATCAAACGCTTGTCTGCGCAAAGGTGTGAAAGAAAGGTTAGAGAACAAACACAGTCGTCACCGAAAAATGATTTGTGTTAAAAATAGCGCCTTTGTTTTTGTGTGTCGCCGGAAAAGAAATCAAAGCTCAAATCAAAAAGTAAAAAATCGTGAAATGTCACCAAGAGACTGAGGTGTGTGTCTCTGTGTGTGTGTGTGTGTGTATGTGTATGTGTATGTGTATGTGTGTGTGTGTGTGTGTGTGTTAGTATGTGATGTGTATGTGTGTGTGTGTGTGTGGTGTGTGTGTGTGTGTGTGTGTGTGATGACTTGGTGTGTGTCGGTCGCAGCATGGCCGTTCCACCCCACTGATCATAATTCCATTGTCGAGCTAATAGTCACCCCCTCCCGGGACAGACTGTGGAGGCAGAATGTCGCAGGTAGACAGAGTGGCAGGGTCAGTGAACACATCAGAAAGACACTCACATTCAGACACTGCTCGTATGCACAGTGTCTGAATGTGCGTGTTTTTGCGCGTGTTTTTTTTGCTGCCAAAGAAATATCCCTTTGGGTGCCAGCCAGACACCCCCCACCCCCACCCCCCTTCCCAACGCATTGTTTTTCCCAGATGGAGAACGGAAGAAGGAGGTGAAATGGGTACACGAAAAAAAGTTACAAGCAAAGAAAGGTAGTGAGATCAAGAAAGAAGGGAAGAGGTTTTTCGGGTGATTTTTGTTACATTTCAAGGAAAGCAAGACAAACATGAAGAATAAAAAGATCACCACCTCCGCCTGGCGACCCCTCTGCCTCCGTCGGGGCTGATGATGTTGGGCACCGAGTTCCTGCATGTTCGCGGGCTCCCGTTGGTGAAGTGCACGGGGCTCGCACGCACATACGCTGGAAACTCCTAATATTGGAGAAAGAGGTAGTACACATGATTAGTTGCTTATTCAAGCCGGCGTGAGATATGTAAATAAAAAATGCACAAATACAGATACAGGAAGTGTGTATAATGAACGGTGGCTTTTTCGCCGTGGGTCCTTTTCTCAGAAGTCTAAACACAGCGGTGGGGTTTCTGTTATCACACGCAGCGTGCACTTCCGTAAGAGATTGAATATCTTCTGTTTGACTTCATGTTTTAATCCCTGATTAATTTACGAATGATCTCCTGCCCTACCTGTATGCCGAGGCTGGATTTCATCAGGTGGAACTGGTCCACTAGCTTCTTGTGGAGGGGTCTCATGTCCTGGGGGACAAACTTCTCGTGCACAGCGAGGCCGTACTCCAGAATGTGTGCCTGCAAAACAAACGCTGGTTAACATCTCCCGGGTGTTACAAACAACCGAATCAGAAAACAAGACAAGAGGTCAACTTGAAATAAAAGGCTCTAATTCCTTCTTCTTCTTTTTGATCCAGATGTGAACGTTGTGATGAACGTTTTGATGTTAAAACATCTCTGTAAATGTATATAGTCAGTGGCTTTCCACTTTACACATTTCATTGAGGACGGAGATTTGTTTTATGCAATATTGTATGACGTCTCAATTGGTCATACACCTTAAATATCTGGAAAAAATATAGGTTAACCAACCCGATAGAGGGACTAACCTAACTGGACAACTTAATCACAGTACAGAAAAACCTAATATATGTGGTAAAAGTCCAGATCCTGGCACCATTATTAGTGTTTTAAAATCGTTTTGAACAATGGAGCTGAACAGAGGACTTTTTTTTATTCATTTCGTGACATTTCAAACGACTTATTAGCACACACTCCACTTAAATGCCCATATGTTTCATCACAGACCTGTTCAAACATGAGTTCTCTCAGTCGGCCGATCTTGTCTCCGTCCTCGGGGTGATTCATAACGTAGTCCTTCACGAAGAAGGCCTGCGTGGAGACAAAATGCACAACATCTGTTATTCACACACCGGGAGCTGGAGCGGTGGAGAAGCTTTCTCACTGCCGTGTTACCTGAATGGGCTGACACACTGAATTACCGTCCACACATTTGGTAAAAACCCCATTTAAAAAGTGTTTCACGAACTGAGCAAACGACGTAAACTCACATCCAGCTCAAATGGGGTGTAATGCTCCGATTTTGTGATTTTACATAAATATCAAGTCCAGGAAAAAGACCAGAGAAAGAAAAAGTAAGGTGCCAAATTGTAGGATCAAATGATTGATTTAAAAGCCATAAATCTTACATCACGTATCTTCAGAAACAGCAGCCTTCTTTTTTGTAGGTTACTGACGGCCTTCTCTAATTGCTTTCCCAGACGTTTCCTTAAAGGGACGCCAAGGAGAAACAGATAAGATGCTTTGAAATGATGATAACCCATATTTGTGGCGTCCGTGCATTAATCCCTCTGCTGTTTACAGTGCCATCAACACTTGTGATGTGTCTACAGATTATAGCAAATCCCTTTCAATCTGCATCGGAATGCACAAAGAGGAGGGGGACGGCGAGCCGATGAAAGGCCCCGGCTCACAATCTGCTTTCAGATCCGCCACAAAAATAAGAGACTGAAAAGGTAAAGGGGGAGTTCGTGGAAAAAGAAAAAAAACATCAGCATGGTTCCTATCCCAAGGACATGACTGTTTATCTCCAAAGAGACAGAGCCAGATGACAGTTAAATAGAAAAGATGCCGCTTCAAACAAGTAGATCCCTGTCAGTGAATGCATTCGGCTTGCAGACTATCAATAAAAAAGGAGTATTATTATTCCAGACAAACATCCTCAGATTGCAAGATAGCATGTATTAGTATGCATGATTTCACAATCCTCTCTTTAGCGACACGAATGGAAATATTGCATTGCATAGACGCTATGATGTTCTTTATAAGCCATGTACTTCTGATACCTTGCCAAGGTAGTAACTCTATAAGACGCTGCCTTTCAGCACATTTCATCCAAGGACCTCCGGAAAAAGGCGGCAAAAAGAATCAATAATCTTCTAGCAATGATGGAAATGTTCCGTCGGGCTGCAGGGAGTGAGTCGTCGCTATGGAGGAGCGCCGTTAATCATCACCAAAGTCCAATTAGAGATGGAATGCTTAGCGGGGAATAAATCAGACGGCATCCCCCCTCAAGGGTTTCAACTCAAACTAAAGCAATAAATCTGAATATTAATAATGACAATTCCTCCTTCATTTGCAGCCGAGCAAAACTCCACAGCTGTCAATAAGCATTACATTGAAATGTTCTGTTGGGGTGCTGCATGCAAAGAGTGTGAAAGCAGAACGTTTGTTTTATTCAAATGGAAACAATATTACCTGTTTGCTAATTGGTGGCTAACATGTAAAGCTCTCTAAGCCTTTAATTTGCACAAATAAAGAATTAAAGGGGCCCTATAATGCTAATTTTCAGGTTCATATTTGTAATTATAGTCAAACATTTTCACCATGTTTGCCTTTTTTAATACAGTGTAAGGTTTATTAATCTTATATATCGAAACGAATGGTAAAACTGTATTCATGAGTTAGAATTTAGGGAGGTGGTGGCGAAGTCGATAGGGACTTGGCTTAGCAACTGGAAGGTCACCAGTTCAAGTCCCGGCAAGATCAAGTGCTACCGAGGTGTCCCTGAGCAAGGCACCGGGCAGCCCACTGCTCCTAACACTAGGATGGACCAAATGCAGAGAAACAATTTCCCCACAGGGATTAATAAAGTATATCAAAATAAAAAATCTAATTAAGTCAGCTAAAAAGGTTCAACACATCATTTACACTATATTTTTTTATAATCAGTCAAACCAGACTGCATATTGATGGGAAGACAAGGTTATACAAATGGAAATACACCCGTGATGCTCTCGAAAAGTGTTTGACAATAAAGTGCTGCTCTTAAGCTGAAAATCATTCCAAATACCTGCCATTTCTTTAACAGAATAATGGCATAGGTGAGAAGCACTCCACGACCCTTGCGACTCCATCAAGAATCCTCAGAACCTTAATAGGCTGCTTCAACAAAGAGGCACGCTCCTCTGCACAAACACAGTATACAGTCAGACACACACACACACACACACACACACACACACACACACACACACACACACACACACACACACACACACACACACACACAGTGGAAAAGGGAGGTTGCTATGCGACACAAGCCTGGTCGCTGAGTCCACTCAGTTTATTGCGGGTGAAAGCCGATTTTTTTTCTTCAATTGAGCTTTCTCCTAGGTTTGTGCCGTTTTCGTGCAATTGCCTACTGTCGAGTAGCTTCTGGCGAAGGAGTAGATGCAAATGTTTGTCAGAGGGATTGACTGTATTCCAGTTTTTCTCTAGCAATCTGTGTGTCTGCCTGTTACCACTTCAGTGTATAATACAGCAGCTGAATAAACACTCCCCTCTCATTCATTCAGCCATTATTGCTCATCCATCTCCCTTCCTCCCACTCCTTTATCCGCAATCCTCTGACATGACCCCTCTCTCTCCCCCACATCCATCCTTCCATCTACCCCTCTGTCACCATATCACCCATCCATCTTATTTCCCCCCCGCCTGTTTTCCTCTCATCTATCCATTCCTTCCATCCATAACATTCAAAGCCTTCACCCAGCCATTCATGCGTCCATCCATCGTCTGTTCCTCCGCTCCTACCCGTGCAAAACGCTCCCTGTCCGTGCGAGGCGCCGTTAAATCCCACCTTCATGCATCATCAGGCGATCCATACGTCATCGCTACTCACTCCTGCCACCTTCTCTAAAACCCCCCAACCTTATCCTCCATCCATCCATCCCAACGTACCTCCTGGTAGCGGGCCAGCCCCCCGTTGACGGCGGCGTCGATGACTCCGTTGAGGCACATCGTGAGGGGGTTGATGTTCTGCATCTGCCGGCTCTGACACTGGGTGATCAGTGTGCGGAGCTGTAAGTTCTTGTTCTCGATCACCTCGATGGCGTTCTCCAGCGGGCTGACCTCCACCTGAGGAGAGGCAGGTTGAGGAGACATTTGTTAAAGGGCCACATCTTCTGTAGCTCTGGAGAGAGTTTTCGGTACCACCTTACAATAAGACTACCCTCATAAAGGATTCACAAAGGGTTTATAATTAGGTTGTACACACTTTATGAATCATTAACCGTTTATAAACCAGTTCTAACATTGTTTTCTTACATCAACACAGGCTCACTATTTGGCAAGATGGCTAAGCTTTATGTTGGCTACCTAGCTTACTTCGTCTTCTTCATCAGCCAGCATCCTTGGTATATGTTATTCACTGACTTGATTCCTCCCCATCCATCTTGATGTTTCTTGGCATCTTTTTATGACCATTTATTTACGAGTTACTAACATTTATAACTGCCAAAAGGGAGCCGTATTGTAAAGTGTAAAACACATTCCCATTTATTAATGAGTTACTAACATTTCTAATCAGGCTTAGCAGAACAGATAAATGTGGGCTCACTATTTGGCAAGCAACCGGTCACAGTTGCCCTGTTTATCTCAAATCTTATAAAAGCTTATTAATGATTTATAAAGTGTTCACAACCTAATTAATAAATGAATTACAAACTATTCGTAAACGCTTTATAAGGGTAGTCTTATTGTAAAGTGGTACCGAGTTTTCTAATGACTTAAACTTTCAAAAATGGTACGCTTTTGCTAATAAAATTATAATTTCTAAAGCCGTACCATTAGAACACGTACATCTCAAGATCCGACTGATAGTCTAATCATTTTTTTTTCGTGGACACGTAATTCATTAATTGTTAATGTCCATTAACACATTTTGGCCACTTGGGGGCTTCAGAAAACCAACTTTAGACAAAAAACTGACATATAATCATCTTTCACATTTGAAGTGGTGATTTTTTTTGCAAATAGTTGACTTATAGACACCTTCAGGGCGATATGGGGAAACATTCACATTAATTTAGAGTAGTTTTTTTGCTACATGATGAATTCAATCCAATATTTTCCTTTTTTTTTTGCTCTATTTTTGGTCTCCTCCACCTTCAGAGAGAGAAAGTTTTTCCATGGAAAGAGACATTGGGAAGCAATGCTGACGAGTGAAATAAGATTAACCAAAACAGTCATGTTCCAAGCAGTAAAAAAAATGCTAAACTGAAAAGAACTACCTGTACCACCTTTCACATACACACAATTTGTTGCAGCAGCTTTTTGTATAGCGCACACAATGCATAAATGATAACAGGCAAATAATTAGCACATGGTCCCTTTTCCCTTTACTTATGAATACATAACATATCATTTCTATCGAGCATCAGAACAGTCCTCTGCCTCACACAAAGCCTATTCCTTTTGTTAAATAGAGCTTTTACCAGTCCTGTATTTTATAAGCTATTGTGCTACACATCATAGAATAATACGTATTTCACAATCCACAATTTCACACAACGCTCGGCAGCGATGGGCTAAAGAACATGCTCAGAGACACTGCGTTATGTTTTGCATTCGCCGGACAAAACCGCATTTAAAATCCACCCACACTTCAGATCTGAATGAGAGGATGGAAAGCTTTAGAAGGGATTTGTGTTGCAATGGACTCAAATATGATCAAGTCTAAAAACACAGGATAAGTATTGGTAAAAATGTCCCAATATAAAAATCTATTTAAAAAATTGGATGTTGTCAATCAAAGCAATACGATTACAGTTTAAGCACAACAACACATATATCCAATGGAAGACATTTAATGTGTCCAATAGCCCCAGAGTCATGATTCAGGCCATTATTGTTGTTCAATGAAAAGACTTGAATCAATATTTGCACCTATTGCCTGGTGGTCCTTTGAATTGCTGCCTGAAAGAGAGTATTAGCCCTTGTGTGAGATGTGTGTTGCAGTAATGTCTTTATGGTTATTCCATCAGAGGTGGACACACTCACCAGCTCTCTCTTCTCCACTTCAAACCAGCGGGAGATGCCAGGAAGACTCTGCACCAGAGTCAGGGTCGTCCTCTCCACCCACAGGCTCTGCACAAACACACAATGAACCTGTGAGTGTTAGCTGAAACACACTTTTAAAAAAAAGCTACTACCACTCCTTCTCTGGCACGATTTACTTACAGATGCATAGTTTGAGGAAAACATGCATGTGTACGACTACTGCCAAACAACCACTTGAAGGGGTAGGTCAGGTGTCATATCTTATATATCCTCTCATCGTTCATGTCCAACCACTTACCCTGTCAGCCAGCACGCTTGTCAATGTGCCAGAATCCCACAAGGTTATACTGACAGCACGTAAACTACAGTAACTCTAGCATTCACTGCAGACTGTTAGCATGCGAGAGTCACGCTATGGTACTTCTACTTTGTCTGCTTTGTAGTTATATAATTGGAATTATAGTTAGCTATTTAATTAAAAAAATTAAGATGAACTTACCCAAACAATTAAAAAAACAAAACAAGTTAGCCTTTAATAATAATAATAATACATAATATTTATATAGCGCCTTTCACGAAACCCAAGGTCGCTTTACAAGTCGGTTACGGGGGGGGTAGGGGAAAAAGAGGCAGACAGGTTAGGGGGGGGCGGGAATACAAAGGAGAGGCAGACAGTTGTAAACTAGTGGGGAAAGCCTTGGCCTTCTTGAGACACGTCTTTAAAGTTTTGATTAAGAATTTGGGAACATTTGGGAACATGTGAAAATGAGTTTTTGAAAACTTCAATAATTAAGTTCAGAGGCAAAACATTTCCACACATTACATTTCAATGCAGAATTATTCAATGCTAGAAATGCAATGGCTTTTTAATTAAAAAAACAGATGAAAGAGATAAACTCCCAAAAGCAAGCGGTACAAAAGTATGAAAAAAAATAGGAGACCTCTGGAAGAGCATTGGTAAAAAGAACGTTTTTTAGCCTTGATTAAAAAAAAAATCAAGTTATCAAGGTCAAAAGACAAGGTCAAACTAAATGGTTTGATTCTCAATGAGTATGTATTCAGGCACAGCAGTGCTTTGAGCTAAATGCTAACACCAGCACGCTAACATGCTGACCGTGCTGAAGTTCAGAAGTATACGTTCAAATGTTAGTTTAGCATGCTGACGTTTGCTAATAAGCGCTAAGCTAACTTATTTAAGCTTAGTTCAGAGCCTGGTGTCTTGCTCAAGGACTGTCCAGCAGAGCAGATGAGCGCTGACAGCCTTATCGATCCCGTGTCCTCAGGTTGAAGGAGGGTCTTCCGACTCACTACACAACCCGGCTGACCTTTATTGATTTTTTCTGCTTTTTAAGACCAAAAAACCCACCTGAAAACCTCTCGGATATAAAAAAAAGTATAAGTTTGAGCGCAGGAAGTTCAAAGGAAAAGCTGTTGAATATAAAGTCTTGACCTTTGTGCAAACAAGTTTTTTCTGCAGTTGGTAACTTTTGTGTTGAATTTTGTAAAGAAATAAGTTTTGTGACGACTTCATTTCCTGGCTGCTGCAAAAGTTGATCATACATATTATTCCCACCTGAGAGCCAGAGATAAGCAGCCCTGATGGAAATGTGATATCGTGATTACATTTGGCCAAATAGCTTTGATGGAACTGAGATGAAATGAGCGTGTGTGTGTGTGTGTATGTGTGTGTTAATATTAAATATGTATGAGCCTTAAACTGTGACAGGGTCTTTATGATGTTTAAAGTGTGTGCAGCTGCGTGGGTTTGCATGTGCGAGACAGAAGTGGGCTGTATAGACTTAATTTGTGCGGCTCTGACTAGTACCCGAGCATAATTACTGATACCGGAGTCACGATGAATAAAACATGCGCTCCACACATACTAATACCTGGGCAAAGGTTCAAACCATCATTACCTACACAAGCCTATGATCGATGAGCACGGTGGAGAAGGAAGAAAATGAAGCTTTTTCACATGGGGCTGCGGTGGAAAAATGCTAATGATCAAGAATGTATCATTTCAAAGTAAGAAATATATTCTTTCTGTATCCCATATCACATTTTTTGCAGCTATTCCAACAGCTGTTAAAGTGCATTATCTAAAAGCTCCTTTGTGAAAAAGGGATAGAAGTAAAGAAAATGCAGATAAATGTTGCATTACAGTGTGTGTGGTGCATTCTTTGTGCTTCATGTGACAGCAGCTACCTATCTTCCTCATCAATGTCCCCCCCCCCGTACCTTGAACTCATTCTCCTTGTCTTTGGTGCCCTTGTGAAAAGGCCGGTCATATCTGAACCTCCAGATGTGATTGAACTTGTAGAAGCTTTTGATGTTGTCAGGCACTCCGTCTCTCTGCAGCACGTCCTGAGTCTCGGGGATGGGGGTTACGGCGTAGATCTGCAGGTCTGCCAGCACCGGAAGTTAAGGAAAAGCAGGAGAGAGTGACATGGGAAAGCACTGTGGATCTAAACTAACAAGAAGTCTTCAGTGACCTGAAAAGAACATGGGAAATGGCAGACGCTCTCACACAGAGGACGAACACAGACGTGAGTTTTATGGGGAAGTATGCTTCTTTAAGATAAGTTCATTTCTCCGAGAGTTTTTCTTTTTAGAGACACTTGTCTTTACAAAGAGTCACAATACCCTGTCAAGGATATACATAATTAGAACACATGAAAAAAAAACTAGGGCTGTCAGCGCTTGCTATTTATCTAAAAACAGTTTTGAGACCACTTTCTCCAGGGGCGGGACATTTCTAAGCAGTTGACCAATCACAACAGAGCCTGCCAGCTAAGCAAACAGAGCAGACTGGGCTCTGGTTTCAGACAGAGGGTGAAAAGAGGTGCTGAAGCACAGGCAGTATGAGAACAATAAAGAGCTTTTTGAACATTAAAGCATGGAGACACGTCACAGTAGAGGTGAATAAAAATAAAAATATGAACCTGAGCACAATATGTCCTCTTTAAGATAAGTTGTAAGCTGAGATGTTATAATACATTAATTATCCTTCAGATATATCTTGCCAGTTGGTCATGCATTTCTTCATTACAACACCACAGTTGTATGTGTTTTATCTCCCCTTAAGTAAAAGTAAATATTCAGTGTGTGTCTTGTGTGTAGAAGGATATGAAGTGTTTTTTGTCTGGCTCACCCCCAGCGTCTCGACCCGAGAGAAGTTAATTTGGACAGCTATTGTACATACATTCATATGCATGAGTGTTTGCAACAAGGATATACAGATGGCGGAGCAATCTGAGAGAGACTCTATTAATTAGCGTTATGTGCAAATAACGCAGCGGTGTGCTAATTCATTCAGAAGTGCCCTGTCCCTCTCAGTAAGGGGAGCACATACAAGCAAACACAACACATGCATACATAACAACAGCCACATACAGAGCATATTTAACATGTCATCCATCTGCTTTCCTTTTCTTTAGAGCTGCTCTCTAGAGTCATTTTGACATTATGCCTCCCTACCGCTCTATATAGGCCAACAGTTGTCCCATACGTTAGCTTGAATAATTAAAAAGGCTCCCATATTGTACATGTCAACGCCGTGCTGACTTGATTTATGTAAGATTTGGTTGTAAGACACAAAATGAAGTGGAATACAAAAACTTGTGAGCAGAAGTCCTATTTTTCAAACACTGCGCACATATACTCATATTGTTCCTATATGTTCACATTAGCATAGCCACACTGCCAAAATGAAACCTATAAAGTTACAAGAAATGGTTGATGTGAATTTAAAAGACATGTATAATTAACTTGCTATTGTGCCTTTCATAATAGTAGTTATTTTTATCACAAGGGTTATGTATGAAAATCAATGCTTTATAAATGCCACAATCCTACTAAAAGTCATATTTATAAGCCTCTTCATTAAAAGAGCATACATTTGATTTATGTGAGCATTATTTAAGGAGACTATGAACTGTAAATGAAGATGAAAATCCCTTAGTAGTATCTTAACTTTCCAAAGACTGCCACAAATCAGAAGGTTGTCTGCCAGTATTTAGCCTGAGAGACAGACCACAGGGATTATAGCCTTTGCAGACCATTGACATGCACAGAAACCCACACTACAGGAAGGGGGGAGACCATAGTGCTTATTTTTCCATTGAGATTCGGTATGTTAGTTGTAATAAGCAGAACAGTATGTGTGTTCCTGTGAAAGAGCCTTTGATAAATACACCAAATAGCTAGAAGGAGGCATGGTGCGTGAAAGCAAGCAAGTGCCTCATTACAGGTAATTATGTGGATGTAAACACAAAGCTGATTGTTTGATAGTGTCTATATATCTTCTGCTGTTTTTATTATGAACCAATTCTTTATGTGCTTGTTTTTATAGCAAGGATACACTGAGCGTCGGCCTGGTATATGGTCTGGTCCGGCTGGTTGACGTGCTGCATGGCGATGGCGTGCGGGAACTCGTTGAGCATCCGCTGCTGAAAAGCCTCCAGCCTCTCATAGTCATGGCCGCGGCACACAAACTCCTTATTCTGCAGAGGGGGGAGAGAACGGAGGACAGCGTGGGGTTAGACTGACATCTAGTGGACGCATGTTGTAACTACATCTCCTGAATGCAAAATCCACGGCGGCCTGTTACATCATTAAATAGCATTGAATAAGAGTAGCTGAATGTCACCTCACACTGGAAGAGTCTTATGTAAGAGAAAGTTCATTCTTCTTGCAGGTCTATATTTTTTTACTTTGGAGAGTATCAGTCTATTTAAATTGCCCTTGACAAAGAGGGAATATAGAGATGTCTTTACCCGTAAGAAGAAAGGAAACTTCTTTCCGTAGAAACCCACTCTGAAGAATTCAGGCTCTAATCTCTGCTGGTCCATGATCTTATCATAGAGAGAGGCTTCCATCATCTGAAAAGAAGAAAAGGACAATATAACCAACAGTGAGGATTTGTTATATTGATGAAAGCAGTCATTTTTCTTTTCTTAGCACACATGTAAATACTTTTATTTGTACATGATATTTAAAGAAACAAAAAGTGCCCCATGTGTTCAGAAATAATTACTGAGGTGAAGTTATTTTTGCTTCACCTTCCATATCCTCCAGGTGATTTCACACAACCTTGGATTGGGATTATCTCTTTTTACCAGTATATGATTTATTTGTGACATTGTCAAACACAGCAAGCCAAGCACACATACATAGACCCTCACATGTACAATAAAGGGAGTGAAAGAGACTACCAGGGTCAACAATATAAAAAAAAAAAAAACAGAAACAGACCTTAACCACAAAAAACAACGTAGCATATTAATTCTAAAGCAGATTAAATAGCAGGTGCATTATAGGAATAAAACTAAGCATGTTTCCTAAGACTCCATCTTCACAAGGCAAAACATCAATCATTTTTTAGGACAACTTACCCTCATCTTGCTCAGGTTCCTGTAGTCATAGTAACTCTCGTATTGGTCAGCCAGTTCTCTGCACAGGATGATGCCATTCTCCCAACACTGAAAATATAGCAAATATTAAAACCATCAAAAAAGCTCATGCCTTTCCGTCTGATTTGGATTAGTAAATATGAATAGAAGGCGTGATCTGCCGAGCTGCATTTCCCCCACTGGATGGCACTATCGAGTCAACAAAGAGTCTGATCTATACTCTTCATGCAGGTACACACAGCCATCTTGCTAATTAAAAGAAAAGCTTTCCTTTCCTGCTGCCTTCAGATCCCCGCGCGGTGGCAGATGGCACAGCTCGTGAATGTGAAGGGAAATTGGACTATGAGTAACGAGGGGAGCGGCTTTAACGATTCTGCGGCGACGCTGTGTTATTTCATCAGGGATGCTGAAGTTTTCTTTCTGTTGGAGTGTGTGTGTGTGAAAGCTTAAAGGGACTCTACAACGCTGCTTCTCTCTGACAGTGCAGAACAGTAGCAAATGCAGTTAGGATAAAGACATACCATCAGTAACAGTGGGGGGAAGACGGGAGGTAATGGACTTCCTTAGCATGTGAGCTACTTCCTTAAATGCTGCTGAATTCGAATCAGCTAAAGTCTGTTCATTTTGAGCTGCTGCATAAAAAATACAAATCATGCTTTACCCACAGTTGTTGAATGTAATAATGTATATTTTCCACATGTATATATGTATTTTTTTTTTTGTTCTTTAATTCTTTCTTTTTAATGCTATTTTATTTTATTATTTCTGAAATATGTTGGACTGTTTATTTATTTTGCCTTAATTTCTCTTATGTACATTGCCTTGTGTTTTTTATGCTGCTACAATGCAAACATTTCCCAAATTGGGATCAATAAAGTAGCTATCTTTCTATCCATCCATCCATCCGCCCACCCACCCACCTACCTACCTACCCATCCATCCATCCATCCACCCACCTATCCATCCATCCGCCCACCTACCTACCTACCTATCCATCCACCCACCTACCTACCTACCCACCCACCTATCCATCCACCTATCCATCCATCCACCTACCTACCTACCTACCTACCTACCTACCTACCTACCTACCTACCTACCTACCTACCTACCTACCTACCTACCTACCTACCTACCTACCTACCTACCTACCTACCTACCTACCTACCTACCTACCTACCTACCTACCCACCCATCCAACTACCTACCAACCTACCTACCTATCTATCCATCTACATGAAAGAAGTAGTGCTAAACTGTGCCACAAATACTGAAATGTTTGATTAACAGTGAACAAAGTAGAGTTTGTGAAAAATATTTGATGTGTCGCTCACCTTCCCCCTGTCGAAGTTCTGGACGATGGTGAGGTGCAGGTACTCCTTTCTCTGCCACTCGCTCTGCATGGGGTAGTTCAGGAACTCTCGTAGCGGCCTGTCTGACCACTCCAGTAACTCATCGTACAGGAGCAGGGTGTACGATGCCTCTGTGACACACACACACACCGCACACACACAGTCAGGATTTATGATGATTTGTTGAAAACCAGAATCTCCCACATATGCAAACACCCACACGCTCACGTACCGGTGTAGTTTTGTGCTTTAAAGTGCAGGTCGTACAGTTTGTGGATGTAGCGGATGTACATCTCCTCTTTGTTCAGCTCAGTTTTGTAGAAGTTCTGGCAGCAGCAGCAGCGGGTGGTTCAGGGATGATTAAAGACAAAAGGAATCACATAAGAGAAAGAGAAGCATATGCAAATTGTTCCATAGTAGAAATGCAAAAATGTATTCCTGCTACAGTGACTTTCATTCAATCAGCCCACACACCCAGGTGCTCTGACAGATGGCTAAAAGGCTATACAATGGAAATATATATGATGTTTTTTTTTACCACAATTAATTTGAGAACTAATAGTGTATCTAATTAATAAATAAGGAACTCAATTATAGATACTAGCCTGAACTGACTAGTATAGATATCCAATATTTGATCAATAAAAGGGTAAAAACTTCATATTTCTCATAATAAGAAGTTCAATTAATCAGGTTAACAACTACACTGCTCCAACACTATGCCAAGCTAAGAAAGTCTTGAACTTAATGCAAATAATAAATAAATAGTTTGATATTATGGGAAATGCACTTTATCTCCTTGTCACGAAGAGTTACATTAGATTGGTACCACTATTACGTGTGTTTGGAAGATATGAAGCTTCAGCCTTGAGAGGGTTAGCTTAGCATAAAAACAACTAGCCTGGCTCCCAAGAGGATGCAGTCAAATGATGATTTTGTTAGAAATCCGGTTTTATACAAGCCAAAAACAACCACATCTACTCACCAGTAAACTGACTGTGCATCCGATCTTTTTACCATCCACTTCTCCCAGCTTCATACAATCCCTGTGATGGACACATTGCAACATATGAGACAAACAAAATTCAAATGGACTTGTTCCTGATATAGTCAGAGTGCACTCCTCACCTATAGTCCAGCAATCTCTCCATTAGGCGAGTGACGGTGGCGATCAGAGAGATGCCGCTCTCCCTCCAGGTCTCCCTCTCAATCTTCTTCAGAAGGCTGCAGGACAAGATCGAGAGATGTCCAGATTAAAAGAGACAAGAGATAAAGGAGAGCAAATGGGAACGGAAAGGTGACTGAAGGGAAAAGGAAGAATAAATTACTGCAAAAGAAAAGGAGGCGAAGCAAAGTCAATCGCACCTATGCTTTTGGGCCTCACAGAAAGTCATATAGCTGTTTCACCAGCTATAGATTTGAATAGAATTGCTAGAATATATATATTTTTGGCAAAATGTACACCCTTCCCGCTGTTCCCCCTCACACACGAACACAGAGAGAACAAAGAGGAGAGCGTCTTACCTAGGGTACGGACCAAACAGAGGAATTCTACTCCAGGCGGGAAGCATAGGCGGAATAAATTAATATTAATATGATTAATATCAGCACACACTCACACGGGTAAAATTAAGGGGTTAGTGGATTTAGTAGGAGGAAAGAAAAATGTAATCAAAACAATATATCAATTAGGAAAGGAGAATAAAAGAAGGTGTGCATTAGCATAAAACTAACTTGCATTCATGTTGAATTATGTACAGGCATAATTAATAATTATATCATATTGCACATTATAAATTATTTATGTAGTTTTAATCATATGCAGTGATGTTAGACTATTCTCTGCAATGGCTCACATGTACAAATGGTGGGGAATAGAATGATTGACTATGATAGACAAAGGGACGGTGGATGAATATTTAAAACATTATCATTATCACACTAAGATCCACATCAATATGAGAGTAGAAGAGGTAGGTGAATTGGAAAGAATGGCTTGATGTAATGTACTATGTTTTGGAAAGCTCAGTGGAAATGTGGTTCTTTGTGGAGGAGGACATCAAAATATGAAGAGGCAGGGACACACACACACTAACACACACACAGAAGCGTGACACATACACAAAGCATGCAGGAGTGCAAACTTGGAGAGACAAGGACAGAGTGGAGTGGCCACGGCGGAGGTGTGAGTGAAGATGAAGGTGGATACTCATCACTTACATCTCATTATTATTCAATTATCAATGTATTCATTAGAAACAGTTATGAAAATGAATAACTAACCACTGCCTAAACTTTACTCAATATATTCTGTTTTCATGACACCGAAAGAAAATAAATGTGAAACTTAAAAAAAAAAAATGTTGCTATATGGAAGACAAAAGCTGCCAAAATAAATAAATACAGACACACAAACATTTTTTTTAAAAGTAAAAAAATATATAAGATTTGATAAATAATGAATATGGAGGATAACCAGCTGCCAAAATAAAGAAATACACACAAATAAATACATAAGAAATACAGAAATTGATAAATTAAGGAATAAATGACACCAACGATGACATAAAAAATAAAATGTTGGGATTTGTTAATAATAATTAAAAAAATGGCCATAAATAAATATGCCTGTTTTAATTTGTCCCTGATTTATGATACCTTTATAATATTACCTGCTTCTTATTTACTTTCCTTTTTTTTTTTTTTGCAGACTGTGTCCTCTACAGCTCTGGTATCAATGTAACAGCTTAACACACGTAAGAGTACATCCAGATAAAGGAGCATTAGCTGAGCATTAATTCTGTTATCGGTGCACTTTGGCTGTTTGGGTTAGAGGCTCATTTCCAAAGTGGAATACAGATAAGGCCGACCTTTACTAAGGCTAACAAGCCGGAGTTAAAGCTTCCTGTCTGATGAAGCCTTGTGTGGGCTGCATCAGGTTGGCCATTGGAGTCAATAAACAGCTGTTCTAGTTCGAGGAAGTGTCCTGGTATTTTAAAATGGACCCTCTGTTTGCGCCTTAACTGTAATTTTACAGTTAAGATCGCTGTCAGTTACTCACTGTCCTTAAGTACATTTTGGAAGTCTTTGTATTTCACTGAGGTATTTCCATTTGTTGCTACTTGATTTAGAACCTTAATACTTCTCCCACCACTGACTCTACGGGAACATTAAACACTGACTAAATCCCTCTTTCTTTAAAAAACCAAGGTAGACAAATGGAAGTATATATGTCTCCTAATCCTCTGATTATCTGTGTCTATAGCTGTTCCTCTCTCTGACTCACATGCTGTTGAAGAGCTCCCTGTACGTCTCGTCTCCTTTGCCCTCAGACATCAAACTGTCCAGCTTGTCGATCAGCTTGGCCTCCACCTGTGTGTAAAAAAAAAAATGTTAATCTCAAAAGGAGCATGGGTGGGTTAGAGCAAAAAACTGAACAGTGTGGTCAATCAAAGTCAGTCACGTGTCAGAGTAAAAGTAATAGACATTTACATTTTCACTTATTAATCTTGCATGGATGTCATGTTTTAAGTGTTTGTTGGGGTTTACGTAAATGCCTGCCGAGAGACTTCAGATTGAAATTAGCTAAAATCTGGCATATATGATCTCTGTGTATTTTCCTGCATGGTCCTTATGGTGACTTTAACTCGCTTATGATAGAGAGAAGTTTCCAATGAGCTATGCGTGTGAGGGGTAAAACTTGCTTTTGTATACGAGCTTCAGGAAAGATCATCCACTTTTAACTTCTGTACCTGTTTGAAATTGCCGCTGCGTCTCTGCTCCCAGTCCATCATGTCGTGGAAGATGGGGATCATGACATTCCTCAGATCAGGCTGAGGCACCAGCGTCACCTCCAGGAACGGACCAATCATGGCGGGGATGAAGTTCAGCTTGTGTTCCCCTGGAGGAGAGACGGAGGGCAACACGGAGGTTAAGCTCTCCCTTTATCCCTGAACACAGCACACTGTTTACTTCAGAGGCAATTTAGCCAACTCTGGAAAGCTTTCTACTTCTGTTCGAAAAATGTCAACAACTACAAGCATTTACCATAATGTGGCTTAAGTGCACTGCACTCTATCAAAATTAATGTTAATCAGCGTCTGGGTTACTTAAAATCCATTATTGTTTTTATTGACATCAAATCAAACTAAAACAAAGTGACTTTTTTCAAATTTGAGAAAAAAATAAAATAAAATGAAAAATCATGAAAACTCAAAATTGGACAGATCCATCTGCTGAACAAAAGGTTGTCAGCACTCAGCTGGTTACCATGGCAACACATACTTGTTGGCATGAAGAAAAAAGACAGAGCGTTTTTGCTTCCCATCATCTCAAGAACGGAGAAATAATACAGAATGTTTTTGTCTCTACTTTCTCTGATGGTGGTGTGTCACAAAGAAATGTTTTTAAGTGACTGTAAGATATACTTTCTGCTGCGATGAAAGACCGACAGTTGCTTTTGCAGTACATCATTTGCAGCGTCACTCATACCGAGTTAAATTGTATACTATTTTCTTTTTTTATAGCATGTTTTTTAGGAATCAACTTAGAATTGTACTGAATCATCATCTTACCTAAATTCTGCCACATGCTGAAGATCTCACAGCCCATCATCACCCTCATGTCTCCATACCTGCACCATAACGCAGAAAGGTTAGAAATATGTACTCGCTGCAGGCAAATACATGGAGAAGCAGCGAGAGCAGCATGTAACGTCATTATAAAGAGTGTGTGTGTGTGTGTGTGTGTGTGTGTGTGTGTGTGTGTGTGTGTGTGTGTGTGTGTGTGTGTGTGTGTGGAATTTGTTCAGAGAATGGGAGCAGGATAGAGAAATCAAAACTTACTTTTCCAGAATCTTCTTCCTCTTGGAGGGGGAGAAGGACTCCAGCTGGAGACAGGGCTGGTTAATAAATATTACTGACAGGTAGAAGTACGAGTCCCAAACCTGAAATGACAAGAAAGAAATAATAATAACAAAACAATGGCATCATAAGATATAAGCTGATTGGGTGTGGATGTGGAAACACACACACACACACACACACACACACACACACACACACACACACACACACACACACACACACACACACACACACACACACCACACAGTACCTTGTAGTCAAACTTGTCGTTGAGGAAGTTCTTCCTCAGAGCGTCAGAAAGGTAGAGAACGGTTGTGATGATGACACTGAAAGAGCGAGAGAAAGAGAAAACGAGGAGAAGAAGGTTATTCGCTTCCAGGAAAATGCATCACCATGAACTATTAACATTTAAAAGGCCCTTTCAAATATCAAATTAAATTGTATTTAAAGTAAGAGCACTACTTAAAAAATCCCCTGCTTTTGACAATTATAACTGTCTAGATGTTATCAGTTTGGTGCAATAGTACCTGTCTCTGTACCTCCACCTGCTGAAATGTAAAAGCATGTCTCTTTGGATACATGAAGGCAGTTTCCCTTTTAAAAGAGACAGGAGAAAGGTGGAACACACTGTCCACGGCTCTACACACACTTTCCACGGATCTGTGTCTATGCGTGGACATTGGTGTGTGTGGTCTTACTTGTTGGTGACCAACCGCATGACGGTCCAGTCTTTGGGAAACATTTCTGGTCGGATCAGGATCCTGAAGACTGTGAAGATCTGAAGGAGGAAATCCTGCAACACAAGACAGAAAAACACACGCATTGAAAACTCAAATCAATATCAGGCTTGCAAATTATGCGTGTACAGTATCTTAAAGCAGCCTCTAGTCTACGTCTTGCTCAAAGGTACTTAAACGATATGTTTTGAGCATTATTATATCACATATTTGTATTCAAAGGGGTAGAGGTTTGAAATGTGTGTAACATATTAACCACTGTGACCATGTCGTGTACTTCAAAGGGATATGTTATGCTCAGTATCAGGTTCATACTTCTAATGCAACATGAAACAAATGCTTTTTACGTAAAAATAAACGCTATCTCATTGTGCCTCATTAACATTTTGTATAATGGTCAACCCTACAATGGTTTAACAATATCAGCATCGAGGTATTTGGGCAAAATTAAAGCTAAAATACAGAATTCAACAGTTCTGCTTTTCCTTTCCGCAAAATGTAAAAGTGTCAAAACACACATTGGCTAAGAAAGCACACAATATAAACCAATGAGGCTAATAAAGAACCAATCTCTGAAAAGATATGGGTATGGTCTGAGAGGAAGGGGAAGAGAAGCTGGGACAATCCGATGTGATTGGGGGGCAGGGGTCTTACCCTCAGGTTGTCTTTGCTGCTGAAAGCCTGCAGCAGCTGCTGGTAGTGTCTGTCACTCATCTGTCGCAGAAGGGCCAACAAACACGCCACAAACTCCCCCTGACAGCATCGAACATGAGGACAGAGGAAGAGAAATACATTTGAATGCTCTGAAATAACCACCATAATCCTCAAGGCTGCTATAAATTACTGAAATGAATTCTGCTATTGTATTTGAACAACGGTTAAGGCGATGAAACCTGGTGTTATTAATCCCATAGGACATTTATTGGTAACTGGTAAGAATTTACAACATTAGCAGAGCTCTATTTTTAAAGAATAACCCCCTCCTTGAGTCTCCGTCATCACACAAGGATAATCTCATTATTTCCCACTTCATTATTCCCCCTTTGTGTTGTGAATTATTGCTGTTAATGTCAGATTATATAATTACTCCTGCACATTTTGTCCAGTCCCAAAACAATTAGTATTAGCAATCACACACATTGTGCTGTACACGGTAAAACCAAAACACACATACAGTGACATCCTGGAACTGCAGTCTCATGGTGGGGCCGGCAGGCTGGGGCCGGTTGCTTATTTCCAGAATGGTTCTCATCAAATCTCCCAGCAGGCTTTCCACAATCAGCTCCACCTCTTCTGAGACGACCGGCTCCTGCACAAAGGACCAAAAGCATGAATAACAGGCATTAAATCAAGGACACTCTTCAGAGGCAAAGGAAGACCTGAAATGTCACGGTGATCCTTCAAATAGGGACAATGCTCTCTCGAAGTGACATAACTGTTCCCTTAAAGTTCATTCATTTGGATTGCTGTGATCTCACTTTAATGGCAGTTTTAATGAGGCTTAAACAACTAAGTGTGGGGACTTATAAGAAGTCTGAAAGCTAGAAAATCATAGAGAAAAAGGAAAATGGTGAGGAATAAAAGAAGATGGAATACAAAGGAGAGGCAGACAGTTGTGTGTGTGTGTGTGTGTGTGTGTGTGTGTGTGTGTGTGTGTGTGTGTGTGTGTGTGTGTGTGTGTGTGTGTGTGTGTGTGTCTGCCTGTGTGTGTCCCTCTAGTCTCCCCCCCTGACAAGACAGACAGGTCTTGGCTGGAGCGATAATGAGAAGGAGCTTCAGACTGGCACATTGGCTGCCACTGCTGTCACTTCCCTTTAGATGTGGTGCCAGTCAGAGTGTGTGCGTGTGCGTGTGCGTGTGCGCGTCGCGTGCGTCGTGTGTGTGTGGACTACCGGGCCACTAGCTGCCCCTCTGGCACAAACAGTGCACATTCCAGACAAACACACACAGCCCAAAGTGACTGCCATTCCTACAATGCCCATTGCTAAATGGATGGGTCTCATTACTGAACTGCATGGCTTCCAATGTCCTTGCTACAGAGACTAATTGACTGTATACATAACAAGGCAATCTGCTCCTGCAATGTATTGGTGAGAAAATTGCTGTCAGACTATTTCCTCGAGTTTTGACTACCTTTAAAGTTATTTTCCAGTTATAGTATGGTGGTAGTTACCTTTGTCTACACAGGGCTTATGTATGTGTTTAGATGTCTACAGGAGAAATCTACACACATACATAAGCCCTGTCAAATCACACACATTTCACAATAACCTTCTAGACACATGAATATGAGGTATTACGCGCTATAGACAAGATGATAGGCCAAAAAACTTCCTTTGACGCTTAGCTATTTAAAAAAAAAAACGATTTAACTATGCCTATCATCCAAAAAATAACTGAGTTTTCATTAATATGTCATTCCTTCATTCTGCTTTAACTGAGCATTTCCTAAGATGTCCCTACCATTCCTTGACTTTTATGCAACAACACTGCTTGTGTGCAACATATACTTATTAACAATTTATAAATGTTATGACTGGCTGTTTCTTGTGTATGCTTACTTACTTTGGAAATGCTGCTACCTATTTTTTACCTTGGATTTGTACCTATTCGATTAGCACTGTCTGCAATTAATGTCTCCGCTGTGGGACATTGAAATGGTTTCTGATTCTCTGTGTTCCTCACCGCAGAGCCGTTCTCCTCCTTGATGATGAGGGACAGCATGCTGGTGAGGATGCGGGCGCATATCACCAGGTCTCTCTGCTCCTGCATGTGAGCCTGGAGGACCCGCAGCACCACCGGCAGCAGGATGCACCGCGACTCTGCAACACACACACACACACAGGTTTCACACATCAAATACATAACAATATATAAGGGGTGAACAGGCAAAAATGCATCTAATTCATCCAACTAATCTTCTGTGTCTTCACAAATGCACAACAGACATAACTAAATGTATCCAAACGTAATTTATTGTGTAACAATTATATGATTTCTTGCTACATGTAGCCTTTGGGAGCATGGTGGCTATGAAACGTTGACAGTCTTTTGCTTTATTAAATCAGAATAAGGGTTAACTGCCTAGTAGGTTTACACATACAGTAAAATGAATTAGCTTGGTGTATGATAGTGCATACACAAACACAGTAAGAGGAAATAGAATCAAATATATAAGACAATATTTATATTTAAAAATATATCTATATAAATATTTTTATATATATATAAAAAAAAGAAATATGACATTACTCTCACAAATACATATGTGTTATATATTAAATGCTGTAGAACAATGCAAGTACACGCATAATTTTACTTTAACTTCTTACATCTATTTGAATTATTGTTTTTTATTTCGTTCTATGTCATCGTTAATTAGACATCTTTACTTAAACCTCATGTTTGTATAAATATCTTAATTCTATTTTATTGTATATTCAACAACCTAATCCCCCCAGTGTTTCCCATCCATTGATTTATTTGTGGCGGTCCGCCACAATTAAATATCGTCCGCCACAAATAAATATCGTCCGCCACAAATGGATCTCATAAAAAAAATATATATGTTATCATTATTTTAATTATTATTATTTATTTTTTTTGGTAGTCTAATGGATAGTGAAGTGAGCTGATGATCGGAAGGTTGCGAGTTCAAATCCTGCCTGGAACACCACTACTAGTGTGCCCTTGAGTAAGGCACTTAGCCCTCGGTTACTCCAGGGAGAATGTCCCTGTAATTGATCATTGTAAGTCGCTTTGGAATAAGGCGTCTGCGAAATGCCTGAATTGTAAATTGTAAATGATATTTTTGTGAGAATAAACCCCACGGATCCTCAACTCTGGTGTGTTTCACTCATTAACAACGCAACACAGAGCAACAAGATCGTTGTCTACAGTAGCCATGAACTCGCATGTATTATCTTATTTGAGGGGGGGGTGGATGCATGGACCACCCGAATAGGTTAAGGGGCCTTTGGCTTTTCTTGCNAAGTTAGTCAAATTTGACCAGTGTATCAAACGGGGGGGGGGGGGCTGTGCCCCCACAAATAGAATCAAATTCTGTGGGAAACACTGCTTACTGTATGTTTATGTTAATTTGTTTAATTATTTAATTCACGAAACCCACTGTGATATCAGCCTTCATTAAGAACAACAGCGAGCCATCGATCATTATAATACGGACTGGATGGTTGATGGAACAGCCTGTTGGTGCATGATGTAAGACAAACACTGTATGGCTGATTATTGTCTGCATTACAGATACATTTATTTGTTTTTTTTGTTTCCCTCTGTGTTTTTCCTGCAAGGCTTTTTGTTGCATTTATGTAATATGTTCCCACATCTTTCCGAATTGGGTTTTCACTGCAATCAGAAGCTCTGACTATGTATGCATGTCAAACTGTGCCTGTGTGTAAAGGTCTTCACCTGGGTTGATGTACAGCTGGCTCTCTACAGTCTTGGCGATGCACTGCAGTCTGACCGCCTCCAGGCAGTCAGCGTGCACGGCGGTGGGCAGGCTGCCCAGCGTCTCCCTGACGAAGCCCGCCACCTCCCGCATGGTGAAGATCTTCAACAGCTCGCCGTACACCGCTGGAAACGTCCTCAGGAACACCGCCTGGAGAACACACGGCCATGTTCAATCATTTGGACCCAATATGCACCCATAATTACACAGGAATCACTGGAAACAGCCACTACAAATCATACTAAACAGAGCATTTCAAGACATGAATATGCATGTTTCATATAGTGTGTGCAGTCATTTCAATACATTTGCCACTGAATCAGGATTGCGTAATGTACATTTAATGACTTTTCTCAATGGTGTGAAACGCCTCAGGGGCTTTGGATGAAATGCTTAGATTCTGATCAAATGCGCAGGAAAAGGCTACCGTCAGGACATGCTCTCCATATTCATGTAAGGGTTTGTTTATACAGAGCGGTTTTGTTGGGAAAACAAAGCTACATATCGATAAATCACTGGCCGAGACAGGATTATGCGGATTCAATTTAAAGGCTGCTCCGGTGGGATTGCTTGTTTGCAGCTCTCAGTCTGACGCTCCTCCTTCCTGTCAACTTCCATCTCTGCACAATTGAAAAATGAAAATCTAGAGACGGGAGTCACCATGTCCCTTTTGATTTTCTTTTTACCATCATTCTTCCAGGAAAGAGAATAAAAACACTGCCACAGATGTTAACAAAAGAGCAGATGGAGAAAGAAAGGGCCCCATAGTCCACACTTTACATTTGACATTTATATTTGATTTAATATGTAATTCTTGCGCACTAAATGTAAATAATATCCCACATACTGTATTGCAGGGGTGTCAAACTCAATTTCATCGCAGGCCACATTAGCATTATGGTTGCACTCAAAGGGCCGGTTGTAACTATATAAATATACATATATAAATATATAATATACATAAAATAATGTAGTATATTACATTATTGCCTCTGAATTGGATTATTATTGAATAGGATAATAACTTCGTAATAAACTAGCCTACGTCTGAAAGCAGAAGTCCAGGGCAAATAATTGCAAGTCTCTTCAGTGACACAACGAGATGCATTGTGGGACATGTAGTTTACGGGCAACGTGCTTCTGTAAAGTGGCATGTAAACGTATTATATTATTTGCAAGCTCTTGCGGGCCACATAAAATGAAGTCGCGGGCCGGATTTGGCCCCCGGGCCTTGAGTTTGACACCCCTGCTGTATTGTGTTAGCTATAATTTAACCCTTCAATAGTGTTTTATTTTCAGATAGTTGACTTGTTTTTATCTTCACAGTCACTTTTTGTGTGTTATCTTATATTTTGAGAAGCTTATATTGTATAATTGTGTATTTTCTACTATTTTTTAAATTTCTTATTATGTGCAATACTTGTTTTACATGCTGCTCTAACGAAAACATTTCCCGATTTGGGATTAATAAAGTATATCTTGTCTTATTGTTTGAATTACATGATTATCTATGTAATCTATTAATTGATGTGTAACACGGCAGGGTCCGTGACAGTTTGTTTTCATCTGATTTCAAATAAACAAAGTCTTGGTTTTAAGAATATTAAACTTGTTTCGCCAAATTCAGATGATAAATACAACTTTTAAGCTTCTAAAGGCATAATTACAAGAGGCAACTTAACGTCACAGCAGGCATAACAACAGCCGGTGTTTGAGGGTTTCCCCGGGAACAAACACAATACACACAAATGCATCACAGATTATTTTGCGGTATTTGAAATCATGTACGCAGCTCGCGACGTAACTAGGAGTCTAGTGGACGGTATCAGTACTACAAGTAAACATTTTTTTAAATTAATTACGTTGTTTATAAATTAATCTGAGGGCCGCAAAAATAGGAGGTGGGGGCCGCCATTTGCCCATCCCTGATGTATATGGAACATTATCATTATGTCATAGGCAATAAATGTTTCCCAAAAATCTGTGTTCATGGTAAACAGAACAACTTTCCTTATCAGTTCACAACCTCCAAATGACAATCACAGTACAGTTCATAATAATCAGACGTCATTGTGGCAAAAAGCAGCCTCGAGTATTAATAGAACACCATTTCTCTGTGCTCAAAAACTTAAATCAATCCGACAAAAACTAACCTCAGGTGCTTAAATTATGCGTGGATGGATTTTCTGTTTGTGTGTGGCGACAAGTCACGGATTAGCATGGATTAGAATTAGCATAGCCTGCATTTTGCCACAACTTCTGTTAAGAATGCCGATTAGTGGAGATGAGGAGTCAGTGGAGGGATGGAGAGGAGCTTTTCATGCGGCATGGAGAAGCCACAACCTGAATATCTAATGCTGCACTCAATCCTATGGCCTTTAAGTGAGTTGACATAATTACAAAGTGACTGGAGGCTTTAAAACAAGACTGTCAGTCTCTTGAGTCGAGCCTTTTAATTGCTGCGAACGAAAGCTGTGAAAAGAAAACCTGACGGGAGTAATTGAAAAGACGAGAAGTACTTTCCCCCGTAATGCTAAAACAAAAGATATGTTCCGGGTAAGGGCACTTCGACAACAAAGCAATAAAGGAAATCAAATATTAACATGCTTTAGGGAATGAACGCACACATTTAGACGCAGGTTTTGTTTTGTTTGAGAGCACCCTGGGATTAAATTGATTACAAGGACTAAAGAAAGAGGGGAAAATGAGAGTATAAAACAAAAGATAAAAGGGAAAAGGAAGTGGGAGAACATGGAGAAGGAAATAAAAAGGAAGTAGATCAACACACAGGTTCTGAAGGGAGGAAAATGCAAGTATTTCCCAACAAGTGTGTTCTAACAAAGATCACACAAGCATCGGTTCCTGGCGTGTAATTAGGATTATATTTGGCGTGTTTAGCTTGTTTGTTTCGGTTGGCTTGTGCAAATCAGTGAAGGCGGCTGCCGTGCTGTGCAGACCTCCCAGAGGAAATGGAAAAGCTGCCACAGAAACTTCTATTCCCACTCCAGGCCCCTGTGGCAGCGTGACATTCGATTACAGACAATTTCCCAGCCATCACAACTGCAGTATCAGCAGACAGGAAACATAATGTGGGGTGCGCAAGTACCCGACAGGAACAGATGTACGGGGGATTTCAGAGGGCTTGAGGACATGAGTTCTGAACACACCTGTGTCTGTGCGACCGGACTGGTGCTTTTGTTTTCCTGCGAGAGGAAGAAGCGGATGGACATGAAGAGCTCGTGGATGCAGACTCGGAACTCCTCCTCGTTCTGGCCCCCGGTAGCCAATGAGAAGAGCCGGCGAGACTGGATGATGTACTTGAAGATGTACTCGCTGGCCTGCGGGACAGAGGGACATTGTTGGTCATCAGCAGTGATGAAATAGTGGAGGAAATGGTCAAAGAATGGTGTGACATTGAATTTTGCCCCTAATGTGTTTCAGTTAAAGTTTGTTTGATAATCAAGTCAATGTTTTGTGTCATCTATAAAAGCAGAAATTCCATATATTATATTTTACTATAGCTTTTTTCATATGTAAGGACATAGACATTGACATTTTTAACTATTTTCAAAAATGGTATAGAACGAGGGATCAACCGATTAATCTGCAGATTAGTTAATAATTGAAATAATCAACAAGTTCATTCCTAAATGAAAGACATAATTAGTTGTCCCCCTAGTGAATACAGTTTTATTTTTAACTAAATAGAAACACGTTTTAAGCCGACTGTTATCAAAACGATTAAACTCAGTACTTTAAAAGTGACATGAATTTTATATGCTTTCAAAGTTTACCGATTTTGAATTGAATGTTTATGTAAAGTGTCACAAAAGCGCTTTATAAATTAAACGTATTATTATGTTTGCTCTAAAATGGAACCTGTCTACAGGATATGCTCTAAGAAAAGTGTAATAAAAGACACTGTATGGATACGAGGAGACCCTACAGACACATCTGCAGTGCATCACTCATCCATTATTTACTGCATGACAGGGTACCATTCACTTCTGCTGCAGGATGTGTTCTGTGAATGATAAATGGGACACACAGGGGGAGGGG